TACAGGGTGAAGCGAAGGCAGTGTTGGACACGTTGCAACTCGATGGCTCCAACTACACCACGGCATGGAGTTTGTTGACTTCAAGGTTCGAGCATCATTGACTTCTCGTGCACGATTACATCATGGCGCTGAGAGGGCTTAACCCACCTGAAAAAAATGTCGAAATTCTATGTAGAATTACTTCTGTAATACTTTCAGAAAAACCACATGTCATTACACATGGTTTAACGTATGGCATTACATAAAGGGTTTTAGCTTGGTGATTCCATATGTAATTCCATATGGAAAACACATGAAATTACTAATTGGAAAAAGAAAAATTTTTTATCATCTAGAAATAACTGCAAAATACCATAATAAGTTATTTGCAGTTAACAATTTGTCTTACCATCAGGATGATAACTCCAAAACAAGGGGGTTCAGCTGATTTTACTTCTATAGAAAAAAATTTAATTTTTTAAATTTTTTTTTTTATTCCTGAAATATAACTTGAATCCCCTTGTTTTGGAGTTATCATCCTGATGATGGTAACACTTAATGTTCACAGTAAATGACGCATTACAGTATTCTGCAGTTATTTCTAGATGACAAAATTTTTTTCCTTCTTCCAATTAGTAATTCTATGTGTTTTTTTAAAATGAAATTACATATGGCATTACCAAGCTAAAACCTTTTATGTAATGCCATACGTAAAACCACATGTAATGCCACATGGCTTTCCTGAAGCTATTACAGAAGTAATCACACATGGAATTCCGTCTTTCTTTTTCAGGTGGGAAGCCACTGCGAGAAGAGACGGCCGCCGGTCTTCAGGGCCTGCTTGACACCTTGGAGAAGCATCGCGATCAGCTACGAGCGCTGAAGCAACCCGTAGATCAGTGGGATGCGTGGATAGTATCTTTCGCCGCGACTGCCATGGACTCTTCAACTCGTAGAGCCTGGGAGGACGAGCTCGAAAAGTTGGAAACAAGCGTCTTGACACCAGGAGAAGTCGCTTCGTTCACCAACCTGACCAGCTTTCTGCGAAGACTCAGCCACTCGCTGGCTTCAGTCGAAAAATCACGAGGCGTACGCTCGATTGGTGATCCTTCCGCCTCGCGTTCGACCGGTGCTCGACCCCCGGTGACAGCGCTAGCCAGTCGCAATCACCAATCACTGGCCACCACTGCAACAAAGGCTGACTGCCCTGTCTGCCAGTTACCTCACTACCTGGGTTACTGTGGACAATTCCTACAACTCGATGGGCCTGAGCGCAGGGCACTTGTCGTTCAGTTAAAGTTGTGCTTTAACTGTCTGAGGCCTGGGCATGTCGCTCACTCCTGCCCGTCTCAAGGGGTGTGTCAACAGTTCGAAGCGTTACATCACTGTCTAATCTACGACGGTAGCCGCAAACGCAAAGCCGAGGCGGACACACGGAGCACTCGGGCCAAGCAAGCGTTCTTTGAGTCGATAGTCGCAGAAGCTGCGGATAACGTCGATGCAGCTACTGATCCGCAGTTCTGACTAGCTGTGCTGCCCACTATCATTGTCCAGTTAAAAGGAATCAGCGGACGATCGATTGCAGCATAAGCACTCGTCGACGCGTGCTCGGAGATAACAATCACGACCACTGGGCTTGCTCGGAGACTTGGCGTTTGACTTGAGTCAGCAGCTACATTCATCTCAGGCGTCGGCGGAGCTGGCCCTGCTCGATTGCAAGCCACAACGCAATTGGAGTTACACGTTCAGCCATCAGATTGGTCGCTGCAGTTGACCACCCATTGTTTGTCCAAATTGAGGATCCGCACTCCCGCAGCCAGACTTCCTCAAACCGTCGTGGAACTGTGGCAGGATCTTCCTGACTTGGCAGACCCGAACTTCAGAGTCCCAGGTGAGGTTGACATCCTCCTCGGTGTCAATGCTTATCCTCATCTGATCCATTTAGGGCTCGTCACGAGAGGGGAACTCATCGGTCAGCGTACGGTTGCTGGATGGACCGTAGCCGGCCGAGTCCAGTGCCACACCAACTCATCGACAACTGCTGTGAGAATCTCGACGCAGGAAAACGATCCACCTTGGCACGATCGGGTGATCGCCCTGATGCAACGCTTTTGGGAACTACAGGACGTGCCACGATCGGTCCGACAGTCACCAAATGACGTGGACTGCGAGAAGATTTTCGTAGAACATCAGCGAGCTGATAACGGGCGCTAAATCGTTCGACTCCCTCTAAAACGCAACGGGAGCCTACTGTTGGGAGAGAGCCTGACCAGCGCGACAGCATCCCTCCGCTTGTTACATCGACGGCTGCAGCGCGTCTCGGACATGGCTGTCGAGTATGCCCACTTCATGACAGAGTACATCAGTCATGGACACATGCGGCAGCTGAGCGATGAGGAGTTGCTAGCAGAGACGGACACCGTGCATTACATTGGCACCACGGGATCTGGCAAACTGGCGATTTGCGGAAAAGACTGCATGTCGTATTCGACGCCTCGCGGCCAACCTCAACAGGATACAGTCTTAACGACGTGCTGCACAGTGGACCGAAACTCCAAACCTGCCTGCCCAGCGTCCTCCTGCGTTGAAGAAGGCACTGAATTGCTTTTTGCGCGGACGTACAAATGATGTTTCGCCAGATTCGTGTCAACGAACAAGACGTAAACCTCCAGCGAATCCTTTGGAGCGCCATAACGGCTGTAGCCCACCAAAGGATTTCCAGTTGTTCATGGTACCGTGACCTATGGTGAAGCGAGCGCTACGTACCTGGCATTACGAACGATTCTGCAGCTGTGCGAGGACGAAGGAAACGCCTGGCCCGAGGCTGTGCCTATCATCAAGAACGATCGGTACGTCGACGACATTCTCTCTGGCGCCGATGACGTCGAGACAGCCTGGCTTCGTCGAAATTAGTTAATCGGACTGATGAACGCTGGATGTTTTCCACTTAAGAAATGGGTGTCCAACGAACCCAACCTCCTGCGCGATATTCCAGAGGACTCTCGTCTCAGGCTATTTTGGCGACGGCGACAGCTCAGTGTGGACGGGTTTGTCAGCGAGCTTGGAGTCAGCTGGGACCCACTCATCGACTGTTTCCACCTGACCCCACCTCCCATGCGATCTCAGCACACCAAGCGCTCTACCCTGTTAAATGGTTCCAGTACAACATGATAAAACCTGATATGAATTTCTTTTAGTATACCGGACATAAAATTGCGAGGTATAATATTTTATCAGTAAATTTTTTGTCTCCCCAATGTATCGGTGTATATGATGTAAAAACATTTACCATGATTTGGAACGAAATATACCTATATGTGGAAAACAAGTACATATGGTAATTTACAAAAAAGTTGTACATATTATTTTATATAGGTTATTTTCTAATGGTTGCGTATGGCGAACCTTGATGTTTATTTACAATTTTTCGACTTGTTCGTATTACCAGTCAATAATTAAATATCCCTATTTAATAACGCAAACTTTATGACATAGGTTTTTCTTGATACACTTCTGATAAGTTTGTATAAGAAAATTCTTTATACATTTGTATCATGTCTTACAAGCAAATAACTATACATAAACGATATAGGATCATATACATTCAACTTCATGTATATTATTTTTTTCTTAGTATTTTGATGTATTCTCGGTATATAAGGTCTTATAAAATATGTCAGGTGCAAATACACACATATATTCTTATAATTTTAGCCTTTAAATGGTGTCGAGTTATTATATGATTCTCGTCTAATTTCTACTGGTTTGGTATTCAATGCGGATATGACTGACAATGTCAACATTAAACTTCTTGTCTTAAGGCCCATGGAGCTGAGCTTGCCAAAATATTGTGTAAATATTAAACGAACAACTACAATTGTGATGTACACGTTCTGACGTGTGCTTCAATATAACGGATTCACAAGATATCGATGGATTCCCACGTGACGTAGGTACATTTATATCAGTTAAACGATTTATATAAGTTTTTCTTTATTCGAATCCAATGTTGCCATAGCTCGATCAGCGGTATCACGTCGGATTCAAATACCTGTGGACTCCGGTTCGGTTCAAACTCACAGTAAAATTTTTTCAAATTTAATTTTCAGGGTGGTAATTAATATAAAGTTATGTAAGTACGTGATAAATAATAATAATTGTTAGACTAAAATTGATAAACTACATTACATTAAGTAAATACTTAGTAATTAAGATATGATTTATATTGAGGCTCTTAAATACGTAAAAACATATAAGATATATGTGGAGATAGTCTAGTCAAAGGCAAGCCGCGAAAAAAGGCACGTTTAATACGTTTTTTATTTTTAAAAATGATTATTTTAAATTTCAATAAAGTATTTTTATTTAACTAAAATATGTTTGAATTTTAAAATAAAGTATTAATTGAATTTCCCAAAAGATTTGAGTTCTAGTCAGACATCTAAACTCATTTTTTTTAAATATTAAATTTTCAGTCACGTATATTAATTAGCTGACCGTATAATTACAGGTAAAATATTTGAGTATGATCATACGTGAAACATAATAAGCACGTTATAACATCATATCACACGTATCGTAATAATTTAGTGGATCCTGATAAATAATTTAGTAATGTAATTAATCTTAAATTTTGTGTCAGCTCTATACTCTCCCTAAAAAAACCTATAAACAATTGTTAGTCGTATGTTTGAATCGGAAAAAATTTATATATTTTACAATACTGTTTAAAACTTGTGTGATATCCCATAAAGTCGACATAAAATTATCCTGGGATATTCATACGAAAACACTGATCAATATATCAGGTTTTGGTGCAGACACACATCTATCCTGAAATAATTTTTTTTATCGTGTTTTATTGGAACCATTCAACAGGGTATGCTCGCCGCCCTCGCCAGCCTTTTTGATCCTTGTGGGTGGATCGCACCCACAGTCCTCGTGGCGAAGATGATCATCCAAGACCTTTGGCGTGCGAAACTAGACTGGGACGAAAACGTACCAGCCTCCCTAGCTCAACGATGGCGGGACTTCTCCACTTAACTGTGGACGTCTCTGGCTTGACCATTCCCCGCTGGATCAGCAGCCACCTCGCAGCCATGCTACAGCTACACGCGTTCGCAGATGCCAGTCGCCGAGCAGTAGCAGCCGTTGTGTACTCACGAGTTGAAGACCCAGTCCACGGGATTTGCGCGCGCTCATTCTGTTATCCAGAACAAAACTAGCTTCGATCAAGAGCTTGCAGCCGAGTACCTCACGACCCACGCAGATGACGATACCTCGATTGGAACTACGGGCTGCACTATTGGCTACCAGACTCCTCGCCACAGCTGCCAAGGAGTACAGTATCAGCGAAGAGCACTGTCACGCTTGGAGTGACTCACAGATAGTGCTTCATTTGATCCGTTCGTCCAAGCCCACCAACAACTCACTGGTGGACAACTATGTAGCGCACATTCAGGAGTTGCTACCCTCGCATATCTGAAGACACGTTCCCACGGACTCCAATCCCGCGGATGTGGCGCCTCGAGGAATTGATCTTCCCTCGCTCCAACGCAAGCGCCTGTGGTGGGAGTCTCAGCTCATCAAGGAAGAGTTAAAAATGACTTTAATTACTATAAAATCAATAAAATTATTTGTTTTCCTCGATGGTCATTGGTAGTTGAAAACTCATGCCTTGCAATGGTAAATAGCTGCAGTTATATATTACAGATATTTAATTCTAAACAAAAAATATACATGTAAAGTATTAGATTGCCAGGGTAAAGTTCTTACAAATCAACAATTATTACTCATCAGATAAAAGTTTCTTTGCTAGCTTTAAGCAAGATAGTATTCGATAATAACCGAACTACAGTCAAAGCAATGATACCTCTGTTGTATGACTCCGATAAGGCACCATAACACTTGATAAAGTTTTTTAACCGTGTATGAGGTGGAATGTTACATAATGTCATGTTATATGGGTAAAACTTTTTGTTATTTTTTGGTATCAGTTCATATAGTGCCAACACGTGCCCAATAATATATGAAACTATAGAAAAATTAAGTAAGTATTTACTTATATATTTAATGTAGGAATCTATAAGTTTTATTTCATATTACGACATTTATCATGTCTTTTAGTTTGGAAGTGACATAACGCGTATAGAGTTTAACAATGTTTTTTTTCATCTTAATAGTATTAATTATATAAGAAAAAGACGACATAAATTTTATAGATGATGATAATGTTTTTTTTTAACTCCTTTTATACAAGTTTATTTTTTGCTACTTTTGTCAGTCGTTATAATTAATTCTCAAACTTGTTCTGTATTATTTTTTATCAACACTTTACAAAGATTCAGATACACAGTTATGTGAAACAAAAACTATTCAAATTATTCTAAAACAATTTCTTAAAGTTATGTTTTTTATAAAATATTCCAGGTGCAAATGCACATATTAAACATTATAAGTAAATTTAAGCCTATCAGACTATATCAGTTAAATAATGAATCATGTAAATAATATATAATCTTTACTATTTAATTAATGTTGCTCATTAAATTCATATTTTCTCAATACACATTGGCTGATTGGCTGTACAATTAATACTTTAAAATTAAATTTCGGGGTCTTAAATTATACCGTAAAACATGAAAAGATTTATACGTTATTTACTACGTTTTTGATGCAACATACTAAATTGGAATATTTTAATAAAAATGATTTTTTTTTAAATATGACATCAATTTATCATACAAAGATATTCCGAGAATACATGGTTATCCTTCTATATTTTTTTTATCTCACCATTCAGTCTCGCCATTTTGATTGCACACGTTGCACACTTCGTATCGTCGTTGATTAGCCATAAAGTGAAAACTGTTCGTTAACAGAATCAGTCGCGTGTCTTACTTATGGTATACTCAGAAAAAAGGGTTTTATTTCAATGAATAGTGTTAAATATTCTGTTTGTCATCTAAGAAAGTGTGAACATAATATGTATAAGTAAATATTAAGGATGACAGAGATAATTAAGGATCTGAGTGTGATAGTCTGCAAACCCCATCTTTGGTGGTAGCGCTTTCTAACTTTGTAAGTTTTCGTTGAATGTATATATCTGAATAATTTATAGTGCATATGGAATGCACAAGTTTAGGATTGTGCAAGTGATTAAGAATTTTCTTGACACAAAATGTTTTGCAACGTCTCAATTATATTATTGCAGTGTTTAATAGTGTGTTTATACAGATATTAGATACGAAATTTAAAGTTAGGTTAAACTTTCTTCCAGCACTTTTTAGACGCCGATAAAGTTTCATGTGCTTTTTGTTTCACTACAGATTCTATATTGAGTACGACATACATCTGTGCAAGTGCAAACGATGTTTTTGTATGTAAAATGAGATAATGGTTCATTCCGTACGGTGAAGGATTCCGAGATTCCAAAACTACATTATCCCTACGATAAATTCAAAAAATATACTATTTGCCTGGAGTCTGGAACTATGCACTATGATGCTGTTATTGTGATTTTTGCAGGTATTGTACATTAACTATATACATCTCAATAATTATTGATCATTTACATCTCAATGATTATTTAATAATAAATATTATTAAAGATATCTTTTTCAAGCATTTTGTTTTCAATTATTTGTCGGGAACCTATAAAGCCTCGTAAGTGTCAGCTCTATACTCTCCCTAAAAAAACCTATAAACAATTGTAAGTCGTATGTTTGAATCGGAAAAAAT